GGAATAGAACTAAGAATATGGAAGGAAACTAGCCCCTGAAATACAGGTATTATATCCTAGTTTAGAGGCTAATGACCACTGTAAATTTTGTGCATGTAATATGTTTATCAATAAAGATTATTATTATTATACAATAAGTTCGACATCTCCTTGGGACAGATGGTTACCCTCCATAGTGACCTAAAAAAATCCTATAATATCCCAGCGCAACTTGTCTCTTTTTAGACCTTAAGGATCTTCCTGTCAGTCTTCAGGTTGCGTGCATTGTTGCCAGGTCGAGTCGTCTTAGGTGGTAACCGAACCTCCACCGGAGATTCTTAACATCTCCTACCCCACCGTTATCATGATTGCCACCGTATCCAGGAATAGCGCGGCCGCAGGGGACTGGCGGCCGTCCATTTGTAACTTTCACCATAAAGGTATATTGTCATAGTTGCCACGCTTGGTGAGCGGGTTGGCACCAGTAATTTTTCTAATTGTTATTTGGCTGTTATCGAAAATATGCTGCTGCTCATTTCCTGCATGTTTCTCTCTGTCCCCTCTTACGACACCCAAGGGAAGATATGAGGTAGTGGATTTTTTTAAAACCGTCACTACGCGGCCTGAGTTACTAGATTTATTCGTCTCCAATCCTGGACTTTGCTTATTAAAGACTCGACTTCAGACACAAGTTTGCTCCGGTAGATGACGTGTTCCCGAGAAATATTAGCATGGCCGGCACGAAAAGCATCACCAGTACTGTCGTCGGCATAGCAATGAATGCTACGGGTTTGCAACATTTCATTGATGTATAGAAGAAACAGCGTAAAAGATAGCACGTAACCTTGTGGAACACTAGCATTAATAGGCATGTAATCGAAACTGACACCGTCCACTACCACCTCGATTCTTCGATTTCCAAGAAAACTGACAAGTTGGACGCAAACAGAGAACCTAAAAGATCAACTTTCTCCTTTGAGGCGTGGGCCAGTGAGACGTACACCCTATACAGAAAGATATCTGACAGAATTTTCATTTGACAGCCTTGGCAAAACACCATAATTTAATTCGAGGTAGAGAAGAGAGATTGGGAGAAAATTATTCTGTCTCGGGTATAAAAAGACGACGAAGCGATACGTGATACCGACCATAACCTCTGTCAGATAAAGATATAAAAGTGCTAAAAACCCTAAATAATTTTGGGATGAAAATCACTTAGATGTTTTTCAGAAATTTGGGCGGTGCTACAGTCTCTTCAACGATTCCAAGTTGACTGTCGGTTTATCGTAGTTCTGATGTAGGGATACGATAGTTATCCGAGTACAAACCAGAGTACGAAACCTATCCAACTGCAGAGAGGTGTAAGAGAGGGTGACTTTATATCTCCGAAACTATTCACCACTGCATTGGAAGATGTTTTCAAGCTGTTGAATTGGAAAAGGATAAGGTATTAACATCAACGGCGAATACATCACTCGCCTTCCATTTACTGACTTTATAGTTCTTATGGCAGAATCGAAGAGCTTAAGCAATATGCTCAATGACCTCAATAGTGTCTACCAACGGATAGGTCTTAAGATGAACATGAACAAAACAAAGGTCATGTGTAACATCAATGTCACACCTATGTAGTTGTTGGGAGCACTAAGCTCGAAGTTTTCGACAAGTACGGTTACCTGGGACAAATAGCCCGACTAGGTAAGTCCAACTACGAGCGAGGGATCAATCGTCGGATTCAACTTGGCTGGGCAGCGTTCGGAAAATTACGAATATACCTCAAGACCTGAAACTAGATTGTACAACCAGTGCGTGTTGACAGTGATGACTTATGGATCTGAGATGTGGTCATTCACTGTTGGCCGCATGAGGACGCTCAAGGTAGCTGGGCGAACTATAGAGAAGGCTATGCTCCAAGTTTCTCTGCGTGATATACTTAGAAATGAGGATATCCGCAGTAAAAACGGAGTGACCGACGCATCTCAACGGATTAGTGAACTGAAGTGGCGATGAGCCATATAGCTCGAAGAACCAATATCCGATAAGGAAAAAAGGTTCTCGAGTAGCAGCCTAGTACTGGTAGGCGAAGTGTAGACGAACCCCAACTAGATGGACCTGGAAAGACATACAAGAAGTCGATGAATGCAGGTGGCTCAGGACCGTGCTTTGTGAGGGGTTGTAGTGATAGCGACTAGTGCTGTGAGAACTCTAAATCAGGCACTGGGTAGAATGTATGGATGATGAATTTTATCTCACTTTTCGTATAGAGCCATATTATTGTGTGTCGCTTCTAAAAGATCGCTTTCTTGTTACAAGTGTTCCGATTGTGATGTGATACATATCTCAAGATTTTTTGAAGCGCTTCGGTGGCTTGGGGTACTATCTTCAACTGTCGCTTGATTAAGAAGGCTATCATGGAAAAAGATTTCGAAATGTGACACCTCAGTATATTGTGAAGAATTTCGTAAATAAGTTACTGTCAACTTTTAATATTTCGACTGAAAGACCCTGTATCCATGATCATGAAATAAACTTAAAAAAAAATCAAATTTAACTTATCTAAAACAATGTAGGTACGGAGTGTAGAAGTCAGGAGTAGTTTGAGTATTAAACTTTGTTTGAGTATTAAAAATTGGTTGAATACTCAAAGAAGGAGTACAGACTGTGTATTAAAAAGTGTCCATAGAAAAACGTTACATAAGGGTGGCGCCACTACAGCTACGGGCTAAATTTTATTTATTTATTTTTATTAAGGAACGTGCCGAAAATTATAAGTGGGATAAACGACTTTTTCGAGGTTATATTTACTAAATAAAATTATTTTAGATTTTAGAGCTACTGAGCAGTTTAGCAGCACACTTCAAACATTGACAACTGCTAAGTTCATTTCATCCCAGTAGCTACTCCAGCGCTGTTGTGGAGAGTTTTTGAACTGTTATTTACTGCTTACAGATGGCCACTTTTTCAAATATTCTACTATGGGAGTTGGTACTCCTTTCTTCTACACTCCATAAATGTAGGTATGTAGTAGTGTTTCCACTTTTAGGGATTTTTCCCTTTATAATGATTTTTGAAGCACAAAATGACAAAATAATCGCCAACACTTTTCCAATATGGCGCAAATGTATGAAGTCATATACTGTCCTATGTTTTGGAACGAATCACCAGCATAACGTCGATTCATGACGTCATTTGCATTGGAAAGTACACTGGGTTCTATTTTGGAACATATCCAATGAATGCAATCCGTCCAATTTTAATTTGTCGTTTATAATATCATTTCCGTTGTTTTAGATGTAGTTGGAACTTAGTCATATTATGTATACCTACCAAAGCTTGCTTGATTTGATTAGTTTAGTTCGCTTAGTTTCATTTACGTAATGCACTCCGATTTGCACCTCGGAATACAAAAAATATTTAATTTTTTCTTTTCGATTAAATTATAAGTAATTTAAAATGGAAGAAGATAATTAAACACCATCCATTTAAATTCAGCAAGTAAAGTAAGAAAATTTAAAACTTCTTGGCTGGAGCATCCTGATTTTAAGTCTTGGCTGAATAAATCTGATGAAGGTGAGACAAAAACTTACTGTAAAATATGCGATTGTGATCTTGTATGTGGATGAACGAATAACTTAAACACAAACACTGCGCCAAACACACCAAAAAGGTGGTTGTTATTTCGCAATGTGGAAGAATGTCAACTTTTTGAACAAAAATTAGACACACGCTACTAATGTATTAAAATGGAATTAAAAGTGTGGGGCTTTCTTGCGACATGATCTACAAATTTCTTTAGTCGATGATTTTGTATCGCTGTTACGAAACTTGTTTCCGGAATCGAAATGTTTAGAAGACGTGCATCTAGGAAAAAAAAAACAACAAATATTTTACGTCAAATCACAGGAGCGACATATAAACCATGAAGGTTAGAGAACAGGAGAACGATCACTACGTACTTAAGCATAGCCCGCCTGTCCTTGAAAATTGTAGAATACATAGCGGCGCTGACGTCGGTGAGTAGAGACTGCGAAGTTAGCTGTTTATGAGTACAAGTAGGTGAAGTTGGTTGAATATTGTACAAATTTTCATTTCATTTTTTCGTAGAAAAATTTCATGCTCCGTAATTTTGTGATTTTGACAAAAAGAAATATTAAAAAATGGAGAAATATTTTATTGTGCGTGGATGTGCAAGTGGTTGAGCATCTGATCGGAAAAATAGACTGAAAATGACTTTTATCGACTGCACTTAGTGATCGCAGTGCCTTACTGATGGTGTTCATATTTCTGGGACACTATTTTCTACGGCAATCGTGCTCCTGTTCTCTAACCTACATCATATAATCAATAAGTTATTGATATCATGACGAATAGCTATTTTAATATAATAATAGATGAAACAACAGATCTGTCTGTGAAAAACCAGTTGGCTGTTATTATAACATTTTTTAATAGTTTGACAAAAAAAGTGGAATGCAGATTTGTTGATATGATAGATATGATTGATGGAACTACAAAAGGTATCCTCCAAACAATAAAAGGAAGTTTTTCAAAACATGAAGTACCTTTTGATCATGTCTTCGGACTTACATCAGTAACGATGAACGTAATGATAGTAAAGCACAATTCAGTTCATGCTTTACTAAAAACTGAAATTCCACATCTGGTCGTTATAGAGTGCTCACGTCGTTTAATATATTTCGCGATATCATATGCCTCCCGTAAACTATCTAAAAATTTAGAAGATTTGTGCCGTAATATACCTGCATATTTTCATATGAGCCTTAAGCGAACAGAATCACTCACACAGTTTCAGGATTTTCTAAAAAATTACCAACATAAATAACTTTCTGTACCTAATACAAGATGGTTGTCACTTCAAGCTTATGTCGACAAGATGTTAAAGCAGTATGATGCATTGAAATTATTTTTTACGTGGGCAGTTTTTGAGGATCCCTCTAATACTAATGATTCCATCTTGGACAGTCTTAACAACCTATTTAAAAAAAGCATTATTACACTTCATGAGTTACGTTTTTTCAAACAAAATCACCACGATTATTTATACTGCCAGAGATGCTTCGGAAAATGTTGAACACTTTTTTGTGCAACTTTGTCAAAAAAGAGCACCTGAGTCTGAGCTCGGATCTAAAGAGCCTAAGCAAATTGACGTCACTAAAACAGAAATTCACCTCAATAATGATCATATATACGTTGGTATGGAAGCACATGCGATACTTGAAGATTTAAAGACAAAAGCCCCAATAGAAGAAGTGAACAAATTTTATGCTAGTTGTCGTAAATTTTACGTGCAAATAATATTGCAAATCCAAAAGCGGTCCGCCTTAAGTGAGAAACTTTTTGACTTATTGAAGTATGTGGATCTAAAAAAAAAACAAGAAATCTGAAGAAAGTATCAGTGAAAGATGTGTTTGATAAATTTAACTTTTTAACGACAAAATGCAACGAATCACGAAGAAATCAAGCTCTTATAGATTTAAAGTATTTTGGAGTTGAAAGCGAAGAAGAATTAAAAAATATGCCAGCTGACATTTATCGGAATAAGGTTCTAAGCATGAAAGATAGTTATTTCAGTTTTACTATCAGTTCCATCTTCAAATATTGAGGTAGAAAGATTATTTAGTATTCCAAAAAATGTTAAAACAGATAAAAAAAAGACTTTCTAATGAAACTCTGAACGGCTTGTTTCATACAAAGTTCGGAATGCACGCAAACAATTGCTGAATATTAGAACCCAATAGTGCCATGAGTGCACCCATAAGTGGAGCAAAACATTACAAAAGTAATGCTTCAGCTTCTAAATCTTCTGTTTGATATGGTTTTTGATGATTGTTCTTTTGTTGATTTATTAATAAATATTCAAAATAATAAATTATTGTTTAATTTCTCGAATAAAAATATCCTCCTTAAAAATAAGAATTTTTAAGATCGTTTAGGAAATTTTAGGGATAAATCCTAAAAAAAACATGCGTGCAGCTCACACGCGACAGAAGTGAAACCTTCGAATGAAATGAAATATAAAATACAAAATACTTTAAATGATTTATTTAATATTATAATTTAAACTACAAGTTCAGCATAAAATATAAGAAAATATAATTTTATAGTAAGTAAATGTAACAATCCCTTTAAATATATATATATATATATATATATATATATATATATATATATATATATATGACACAGATATTATAATACTCTTTTCAATATACGTTTTACCTTCTATAGATAGTACTCACTAATTACAAAAAGATTTATATCAATTTTACCTATTACGAAGCAGCTTTGGCCGTTCTTCACTGCTTGATGCTTGTTTAATTCATAGACACAGGACACCTTCGTACCACAATTCGTACCTTGTTGAACAATACGCGTAAGCGACGCCAACATTCTCGGGAACGTTGAGCTATAATCTATAATGCTTCCTATCTCATTTTCTACCATGTTAAATCTTATGAATTTATGTGTCTGTCTCTTTTTACTGCCGCTTTTTCGTTTCATCCAGTTTCAAATCACAACGATGCTAAAGAAGTTTTCACTTCAAAATAGGGACAAACCAAAATTGCAAGTGGTAGCACTGATATGTAGCATAGCAAACATGAAGGTTAGAGAACAGGAGAACGATCGCTACGTGCTAAACCATAGCCCGCCTGTCCCTGAAAATTTGTAGAAGGTATAGCCACGCTGCCGTCGGTAAGTAGTGTCTGCGAAGTAATTTAAAAAAAAAGAAAATAAAAAATGGTGAAAGATTATAAAAAAATAATAATAATAAACAAATTAATAATTTATATTTGTAATTATTTATAATAATTAAAATTAGAGACAACTTAGCGATAGCAGTGCCTCACTTATTTTGTCCATATTTCTGGGACACTATTTACTACAGCGATCGTTCTCCTGTTATCTAACCTCCATGATATTAAACATGAAGGTTAGAGAACAGGAGAACGATCACTATAGTTCATAAAAGATAGCTTGATCTCTGCGACAGCTGTCAGTAAAAATCACGCCTACGAAGTCCTGAATTTCTACAGTACCAGTCAATGTCATACGTTATGGGCATGCACTAATTAGGTCGGCATGCCCATAAAGTATGACATTGACAGGTACTGTCTGTACACTAACCTCTATGTATACAAGTACACTGGACTGGCTATATTTGCGCCCTCCTTTCTGCCAAGGAGGTCGCGTTCGTATACGGCTTAGAGATCTCTAGTCAGATCGTTAAGCCAATTCCTAAAAGGTTGGGTTTAGTGGGTAAAAGTAACCACATAACCACGCAGCCGGCTGCGTGGTATGCTAAGAGCATTCCCAACCTCCCTCCCCCGCTTTCCGGAGGGTTGCCCATATTTGCTTCGGGCGCAAAAAAAAACTGGCTATACCATACAAAATGACTGTGCCAATTTGAAGCGCCGCTAAAGGATGTCTTGAAAAATAAAATTGACATAATATGCCAAAGTCTGTTGTCTTATTTATATTGTCTTATGTCATAAGTCTGTATTTTGACCTTTAAAACTAAAAAAGGAAAGTATTTTGTTGTTTGATTGTGTATAATATGTTTGATTATTTTTATTAGTAATGAGAGTGTGCGTAATCTGTAAAACTCGTTACCAAAAGCGAAGTGGTATAACATTTCACAAGTAAGTGAATTTGCAGCAAAAATTAAAGAAATTAAAACTATTTAATAATATAAGTACTTAAAAATTTGTTACTAATCTTAATATCATATATACCAACATGTTTGGGTGCATATTACTGAGTTTTGATAAACAATTCAATAGGGTTGTCGAGTTCGTTGTCTATAATACTTATCGATGTTCTTTCCTACTCATGACTGTTAACAAAAAAAAATCGCCAGAAACGGATGATTATCAAATGTTTATTTAATTAACAGGTTTTCAACTGAACCTAGACTAAAATTATGGCTTAAAAGCATAAATATTGTGAATTGGCATCCGAAACAAAATGATCATATTTGTTCCAAACATTTTACAGACTACTGTTTTATTAGACATGAGAACTACACCACTTTGATAAAGTGCAGTATACCGACAATGTTTTCTGGTACCAGTAACCAGTAAGTATAAAAGTATTGGATTATTATTTCGTGTGTTTTTTTATTTCTTCTTTCCTCGTTTTCCACCAAACTCAAGGGCCATAGACAAGTGTCGAAAGATCGCCTGATGATGTCGAGCCACGTTGCATATGTGTTAGTGGGCTGCGGCTAGAGGAGATAGGTGGAATCGTAAGGGAAGAGGAGTGTTGGTATGACGATTGGCGATGCGCCACTCGACTATCTTTCGCGACTTTGGTGAGGCTGCACCACTTTCTGCTTCCAAGTGCTCGTTTTTTCCTGCCTCTATTCACATATCGGGCTCGGGGAGTCCGTAGTGCAGCTCGTATCTCTAGAAATGTTTCCTCGGTTTAAGATCTTTGTAGAATATTTAGAGACGATACCAGGAGACCCGACGGTATGGGTTTAGTTGCTTGAGAGAGAGAGATAAAGCTCTAGTGTGGGATACTACTTGCGAACACTTTGACAGCTTCCCATCTCAGCGGTACCTCGTCTAAAGCAGGGGTGGCATTAGAGGCAACTGAACCAAGTAAATACCCCAGAGTATCTGGAAGATAAGTACATATTTGTGCAATTTGCTGTAGAAACTATTGGTCCGTAGGGGTGCGGTGTAGTTCCTAAAAAACTGTATCTGCGACTGATCATCGCTGCTGGTAATAAGAAGTTGTTTAGTTTGTTGTTTCCTCGCTTGAAGGCTAAGTATAGCCATTCAGTGAGGACACGTAGCCAGCGTTCTTGGGACGATACCACAGAAAGTAGGACTTTATGATAATTTCAGTATTTTTTTTAAATATTGTAATTTCAATTTCGAAAATGACGTTGTAAATAATTGATAACTATGTAATTCAAAGTTTATATTTTTTTATATAATCGTACCCGGCGCATTGCTGCCGCAGAAGAAATAATTGTGGAAATATCGTTAAAATGTGGAACAGTTATTATATTGTTTAATTAGGAATGATAATACAATCATTGAATTAGAATGATATATAACTTTCAAATAAATAGTCGGTATAATACGCACGCCACCTAGTGTCAGTTAATTGTACCATGCGTATAGCCTTCGCACAAGTGCAATCAATAAGTTGACTAAGTTTGACCGCAATCTGATGAACGGTATGGCATCGTAGAAAGTACGAACCAACATAAATTTTTATATAGTAGAAAATATTTTACTGTCTATAAACAGACCTGTAGTTGATTAGAATAGGCGTTATTATAGCAGCTGATTTGTTTTTTATAATACTAGAACTAAATGTACGGTTGACAATAAATTATTCTAGAAATTATGTTTTTATTTTTATTTTCTGTAGTTCTTTTAATCTTAATAAATTTTTGGTTGAATGGTAAGGGCTACGATGGCTATCCGAGTACAGAACCAGAGTACAAAACTAATCCAACTGTAGAGAGGTGTAAGACAGGGTCACGTTATATTACCGAAACTCTTCACCGCTGCATTGGAAGACGTTTTCAAGCTATTGGACTGGAAAGGTTACGGTATTAACATCAATGGCGAGTATATCACTCACCTTCGATTTGCCGACGATATAGTCCTTATGGCAGAATCGCTGGAGGACTTAAGCAATATGCTCAATGACTTCAATAGTGCCTCCCTGAATGGGTGGGTAATGGATGGGTCTTAAGATGAACATGGACAAAACAAAGTCCATGTCACACCTATGCCCGTAGTTGTTGGGAGCACTAAGCTCGAAGTTGTTGACGAGTACGTTTATCTGGGACAAATAGTCTGATTAGGTATGTCCAACTTCGACCGAGAGGTCAATCGACGGATTCAACTCGGCTGGGCAACGTTCGAGAAATTACGACACGTCTTTTCGTCAGGCCTATATTCAGCAGTGGACTTGTGAAGGGTTTTAATGATGATGAATGATAATAGCATTATATTAATATGATACACGGACGGACGTTACGGGTAGAGTCCATCTATCCATAGAGTCTATTCTACTTATTTAGGTATAGGTAGGGTATAGAATTTTTATCGATATAATTTGGTACACTATCTTATCCCTATTATTAGTTCCGTGGACGTGCACTTCTGCTGTCAGCGCCAAAATGGCGGAAATCAAATCGCTTCAGCATGTTACGGTGTATAGCCAGTCCAGCGTACTTGTATATATAGAGGTCAGTGTGTCTGTACTACTAAGATATTCAGGACTTCATAGGCATGATTTTACTGACAGTTGTCGCAGAGATCAAGCTATCTTTTATGAACTATACGTACAAGTAGATGAAGTTAGTTGAATAATGTACAAATTTTCGCCGCGGTATTGGTGAGAAAATTTTCATGCTCCGCAATTTTGTAATTTTTGACAAAATGAAACATTAAAAAATGGAGAAATAATTTATTGTGCGCGGATGTACAAGTGGTTTAGCATCTGATCGGAAAAATAGACTGAAAATGACTTTTATTGACTGAACTTAGCGAGCGCAGCGCCTCACTTATGGTGTCCATATTTCTGGGACACTATTTTCTACGGCGATCGTTCTCCTGTTCTCTAACCTTCATGATAGCAAACGTCAAATCAAAGTGTATTGCAGACAGAGTTTATTGCGTAGACAGAGAATCTCTGTCTACGATTTATTGGTATTTGTTTGTCGTAGACGTAGACAGAGAATGGCATTTATCTATTTATCCTGCTACATATCTATTTATCTATGATATTTATTGTAAATAAATTGTAATAAAAGCGGAAGCTATCGTGGATGATTTAAATCCCAGTTATATATATTTTTTAAATACTTGAGTTATTTATACTTTCTCCCTCTTTCTCCAGTAAATTTGATCTCTCACTAACTTAAATAAATTAAACTAAAAGTCTAAAATATGTTCAGTAATGTTCATAAGTCTTCATTAAAGGCATGTATCATATTTTGAGAGTTATATTGTACAGATTGTGGGTTGTGTCTACCCTTACGCTGTTTACAAGTGTAGTGGTATTTTGGTGGTATGGATTCTTTATTGCTTTTACCGTTTTTACTCTTGGAATCACCGGTAAGTTGCACAAAAATTCTACCATGTTTTTTTTTAATTCATTTCATGTTACTACCCTTATTTTTCTATAAAATTGCAGAACTTCGATAGCCTTTAGGCAGTGGTAAATTATATTTCGTCCACCCCTCCTCCATATTTTACTTTTGAGTTTGTTCTGAGAGTTAAATGAAACAAGGAACAAGCAGATGGTTCACCTGATATTCAGCACTATCTTCTGCATATAACAACAGAAATATGACTTGCATTTTTCACTACTCTAGTAGGAGTAGAAGCAGATCCAAGTTTTCTAGTATACCCAACACTGTGATGAGAAGGTTAGAATGTCTCATATGCCTGTAATTATAATTGAACCTACACACCTTTCAATATAGAACAGGTACACAAGGCTTAAACAGCAATAAAATGCTTACAAAAAGATAAGGGTGAAAATTAAAATAGATACCCATTAATTTTGAGGATTCATACCAATTTTAAGTCTTTTGGCTACCAAGTGTAGCAAGTATGAAATAATCCCCCTCATGAGGAAATCTACAGGGTTTATAAGTGGTAATGGTAATTTGATATATGCACTTTAAAATCAGATGTCACCGACCACCCTGCTACCATATTGGTGTCGTTATGTGATCAATCTTGCCTTAATATAAAATTGTGATATCTATTTTATGAATAAGTCAATCAATATATTAGGTAAAATTTTATATGTAGTAAAACCACGTTGCACCTATATTATGGTTGTAGCACAAATGGGTCGGCTTGACCTAGGCAAGACCACACTCACAGAATATCAGCATAAAACAGCAGCTTAATACTGCATTGAAACGTATAGTGAGTTTAGAGATCCGAAAACCCTTTTTTATTGGAAACGAGGCATTCAATCTTAGTCCTCAGGGGTGACAGCGCATCTGCGTTTTGATCCTTAATCGAAGATAAATGTAAATGTCTATGGGCCGCAGTATCCACTTACCATCAGGTGTACTGTGTGCTCGCTTGTCACCCTTATTCTATAAAATAACTTATACTGTTATTATACCTTTTAACATATTAAATACTTAGCTAAATAAAAAAATAATAAATAATAAAAATATACTAAATAGAGGTCAGATCCAGTAATGGTAATATTTTGCTCTTTCTATATTTGTGACTGTATTGAAGCACTGAAATTATGGATATTTGAAGGCAAAAAAGTCATTCTGTGTTTTTGCTTGCCATTTAGGCCAATAACTTGTTTATGTAATTATGTTATATGTTACATTATTTTTACCTACAATACTTACATACGGGTAATTTAAACTTTTAAGCAAATGTTTTAATATGTGATTAAAAATTTGAAACCAATTTCAAAATCTATTTCTAGAAATTGATCTCGGAGCAGCTTGACATAAGTTTTGATCAATAGTCCAGTTTGGGTTTTATTAGCGAAGTAAGAAATAAGTACTTTTCAGATGTGTTATTTGGATAACATATTATTCTAAAAATGTAGGTACTTTATTTGTTAATGAGTTGGGCAGTATTACTTTGTGCTTCATATAGGTTTGGGATTGGCGGAAAAGTTTTGCTTAAGATAGGTTAAGCCTATATTATTGATATTGTTATATATCATAGATTGTGATAAATAGTTATGAATGTGGGTACTTAAGACCGATTTACACTTCGACAAGTATAGTAGCGAGTTTAGTTACAAGGCAGTTGACAGTGAATGGTTAAGTGGACAGTAGCATTCAAACAATGTCTTCGTGGCGAGTTTTTCAGTAGATAGAGTAGTTCATAGAGTTTGTTAGAGTATGACGTTTCAAGACTACAGAATTTTTATGGTTTTCGTTTAAGATGGTTCTAGGATTACGTCAAGACTTAAATGATCCAGTCAGAGAAGTATTAATGGTTGTTGTGTAAGAAGTTTTTAATAATTTTCATGAGTGCAGCATCTCGAGCAGGTTTAATTTTACAATTTGAACGTCTATGATTATATAAACATTCGTATTCTAGATACTCCTGTACAAATTTATATGTGATATCTTCCGTCCATTTTAATTAAAACTCAATATAAAACATATAAATATTCAATAATCAGTATCGTACAAACTTTGTGGCGATTTATAAAAGTACAATTGTACGTTTTGGCCCGCAAAAGTTGCGTCCTGTCAACTTATGCACTGAACTAAATTCGCTCGTTTACACGAACGGCGAGTTTAGTTGCGGGTGGCGGGAGACGCGCGGGAGGACAGCACTTCGCACTTAACTCGCCGAAAAATAGCTCGGCCGGCTGTCCCGATCAACTTAATCATTAACTTGCTACTTAACTCGCTTATTGCCGTTCAAACGAGGTTCAAACTTAACTCGCCAGGTTCGCAAGTTAACTCGCTACTGTACTTGTCGAAGTGTCTTACAGTTTACAGAAGTCTTTACATATCATTGTTAAGAAATAATGTTAGTTAAGTCAACTAGTTTGTCATTAGTTTTGCTACCTAGCACAATACACATATTTACCTAAATTACGGTGTTTTATTGAATATAACAGTGGTGACGTAGTGTAAAAAGTGAAACAATGGAACATTAATTTTAATTTACAAAGTGATAATTGGGACAATTATATAGAACGATTAATGTACTGTTTTGGGGCGAATGGAATCGTCTCAGACGTGTTTCAAAAGGCGAATTTTTACACGGTTTGTGGCGCAAATGTATATGAGACTGTTTTGGCATTAATTATGCCTAAAAAATCTAGTGATGTGACATTCGCGGAAATTGTAACAATTCTTACGAAGCATTATAGTCCAAAACCAAACGAGATTTCAGTGTCTTTCCAATTTTACAAATGTGATCAAAAAGAAAATGAATCAATATCATAATATATTGCTCATATTAGAAAAATAAGTGCGGGGTGCAATTTTACGGACTTGGAACATATTCTTCGTGACAGACTTGTGTGCGGTATGAGTGATAAGAAATTGCAGTATGAATTGCTAAAAAAAGACAATTTACAGTATACAGATGTAGTGGAGGCCATGCTATCATCTGAAAGTGCAGTGAGGGATGTCCGCATGATGCAAAGTGTGACCAGCACTAACTTTGCCATCTCCAGGGATTCAATTTTCACTACTTCACTTGTAACATCATCATGCGGTCGATGGATGTCAATGCCATGAAATCTCAAAAATAATTATATTCTGCTACCGATGTGGCGATCGTCATGGTGGTGTGTGTCGTTTCGTAAATGCTGTTTGTAATTTTTAGCAAGAATAAGGGGTATATTGATAAAATTTGCACATCTAAAAAGAAAAGCCGTAGGGGCAATGTGAATTATACATAAGAGTTAGATACACATTTAAATAGCATTTATAACATGGACAATTTATCTTCATGGGTACCGGCATATAGAATAAAACTTCTATTGGATGGTGTGCCAGTGATCATGGAGGTGGACTCTGGGTCTGCTTTCTCAATTTTGAATGACGATTTTACGTGGTAGAGCCATGCTGCAATTATATTAGTAGTATAGTTGTAGCACGAATGGGTCGGCTCGACCGGGGAAGGACCACGCTCTCACAGAATACCAGCGTGAAATAGTAGCTTAATGCTGCTGTATTTCGTATGGTGAGTGTAGAGAACCGGAGACCCTTTTTACTGGAAATGAGGCATTCCATCTCAGTCCTCACGGGTGACAACGCATCTGCATTTTGATTTGTAATGGAAGATAGATGTAGATGTCTATGGGCCGCAGCAACCACTTACCATCAGGTGGACTGTGTGCTCGTTTGTCACCCTATCCTATAAAAAAAAAAAAAAAAAAAACACACATGGATGCAGTTACACTCTAGAACTATACTAGATATACTGCCTAATAAGTTACGTACGTGGAACAACTCCCCAGTATAAGTAATGGGACAAGCTACAGTGCAAGTGCAATTTAAAGACATTAAGTGTAATTTGAATATTGTTGTAGCAAAGGGCACAGGCCCAAATCTTATTGGTCAAAACTGCTTTAAAGCATTAGATATTACTTTAAATACTATTAATCTTATTGATATTGATATGACAGACAATGTCAATAACAGAAAGTGCTTAATAAAAATAATACAGTTTTCAGAGAAGGGCTTGGTACATATAGAGGGAACCCTGTGAACATAAAAATTAAGCCTAACACTGTTCCTAAATTTTTAAAAGCTCGACCAGTGCCATTCGCGTTAAAAGAAAGGATTGAAAAGGAAATCGATCGTTTAGTGGGGGAGGGGGTATTGCGCCCTTTATCTTTTTCAGAATGGGCGACACCAGTAGTTCCTATAGTAAAGAAAAATAGAGACTTTGCGGAGACTATCGAAGTACGGTCAATCAAGCTACTGAGTCGGATACGTACCCAATGCCTACGGCTAGTGAAGCTTTTGCAGTTATTGCAGGTGACTCTTATTACACGACACTTGATTTAGACAGAGCATATACGCAAGTGGTGGTCACAGATGCCACAGCGAAACTCTTAACTTTAGATACATGTAAAGGATTGTATGCCGTACACAGATTGGCATTCGGCGTGAAGGCGTGTCCGGGAATATTTCAACGCCTGATGACCGCACTACTAGCCGGCGTACCAGGTGTAGCCGTGCTTATTGATGATATCATCATCAGCGGTCGCACATTGACAGAAATGACTCAACGTCTTGAAACAGTATTGGAGCGCATTGAAAGAGCAGGATTACGTCTTAATAAAGATAAATGTAAATTTGCTAAAAGACTCGTAGAATTTTTAGGTTTTGTAATCGATGCGGATGGTATTCATTCAGCTCAGAGCAAGGTTGAATCGATTCTTAAAACTCCAAAACCTAAAAATATACAACGGTTACAAGCATTTTTAGGCCTCTATAACTTTTATGAAAGGTTCATACCTCACAAAGCAACTATACTTGAACCTCTACATATATTACTTGATAAGTCACAAATGTGGCAATGGACTGACCGAGAACAAAATAGTTTCGATACTGCCAAGCGTTCAGAGTTGACTCTTGTTCATTACAATCTTAATAAACGATTGGTTCTTACCGATGATAGCTCTGAATACGGCGTCGGCGCTGTATTGTCATACGTCATGGAAGACGGAACACAGCGGCCTGTTGCGATGGGCTCTAGAACCTTGCATGTGCATGAGAGACGTTATTCCCAATTGGATAAAGAGGCCACTGTTATAAATATTTTGGGGTAGTTAAATTTCATAATTACCTGATGGGAAGGTCTTTCACGATAATCACACACCACAAGCCTTATTTGATCCTCAAAAGCCAATGCCAGCGATCCTGTCACCTCGCTTAACTAGAATTGCGTAAATACTTACGTCACACAACTACAAAATTGTTTATAAGCCAGGTAGAGAAATTGGAAATGCTGATGGTTTAAGTCGATGGCCACAGCCAGTTCCAGATCAACCAGAACAACAGCTTTGTGATGTTTTGCTTATGGCAGAGACACCTGCTGATTTTCCAGTGGATGTGGATCTCATAGCATCGGCAACGAAGAGAGACCGAACTTTATCACGAGTAAATCACTATATACTAAGCGGTTGGTCGGACAGAGACACAGACAGTGAACTGCGTCCGTATTGGTTACATCGTACCGAACTCTCATTAAGGAAGAAAAATCTCTCATTAAGGAAAGGAGGAATGTATTTTATTTGGTTGCCGCGTGGTGGTGCCGCCATCGCTGCGTGAGCCTTGTCTAGGTGCCTTACATATGATACACATTGGTGTCGTGCAAACGAAGGCATTGACAAGAAGTTACATTTGGTGGCGAGAATTGAATCAGGACATTGAAGTTTTAGTGGGAGAATGCTCAAAATGTTTAGAAAACAGGCATATGCCCCCTAAAACAAGCTGTGAATGGATAAAACCAATTAAACCATGTTGGCGATATTTTGAAAAGGGGCCACGTTAGAAGTACCCTTAACCGACGAGCATGTATGCGTAGATATATGGATGTAAAGGAGGCGAAAGAGGTATGTCAGGATCGTGCCAAATGGAAGGCCGTAGTCTCTGCCTACCCCTCTGGGTGACAGGCGTGAGTGTTTATGTTTATGTATGTAAACCGTGTTCTCGAATTAATATAGACTGCGGGACCTTTTCAAAATAATACATTTTTGATTCTCGTCGATGCTTATTCGAGATGGCCAGAGGTTTTTATGGTTAACAATATAACCTCTGGAACAATTATTCGACATTTAAGGAATATGTTTGCAACACATGGATTGTGTGAAACTTTGGTTTCAGATAATGGAACCCCATTTGTATCGACAGAAATGAAAATATTTCTTGAAGCCAATAAAATTAAACATGTCACTACAGCACCTTATCACCCGGCTACCAATGGTTTGGCTGAAAGGATGGTCCAAACCATTAAGGACAAACTACGCAGGATGGATGATGTTCCATGGGATATCAAACTCCCTAACATTTTACTAGGTTTGCATGTTACACCTTGTACAGCAACTAAAAAGAATCCAGCAGATCTTGTAATGAACAGACGCCTACGAACTTTGCTAGATACAATACATCCCGATAATCGCCAGCAAAGAAAAAGAACACAACAAATTATGCGTATATTAGCGTTAGTAACGCTCAAAAAATTAACATGGAATCAAAGACGGACCAAAATGTAATGTATCGGAATTATGGTAACGGGCCAAGATGGTTACCAGGAACTGTAGAAATGGACAATATAGTTATGAGATTGCTACGGATGATGGATCTTTAGTAAATAGGCATATTGATCAAGTAATTAACAAAAGGCAATCTGACTTAGTGCAGGAGAGGATGAAGAAATGTCCAAAGAGCAAGATATCACAGTTAATAGTGAACTATTGGACAATGACTTATCAGAGGAAATAACTGACTATAACTTAGGGAAAGATAAGACCAATAATGATGTAAGAGAAGAGACTATTGAAATACCTGATCAGGATAAATGGGCGGAAATATTAGGTATACCAACTAATACGGAAATAACTTATTCTGGGGGGAAAAATTAGGAATAAAATGAATGTTCATTCTAAGTCACCATATGAGAGACGTAATAATTTTATAGCTTAAGTTTACCTGTTTTAATATAAATATCTACTTAGTGTATTAGATTATGTTAAGTATTAGAAGTTGATTATTGTGTTAAAAATTAATATTATATATATATATATATATATAGTAATTTATGTAGGAACTAATTTTTAAGTATGTCTATGTTATCTTAGAAAACGGAATGCAATAATATAAAGGATAAAAGAAATTTTGTTATATAAGTACTCCAGACAAAAGTTGTAGATCATAAAATAGATCAATAAATGGTGGACAATGATGTAAAGAAATTTCTCTTCCTCTGCACTTGGAAGTCCCCTGGATACTAATATATAGTTAATATTGACTTTCTTATTAAATTGAATTACCCATGAATTGATTGCTTTACTAATGAAATTGCTATTTTGTTGAACTGGTCATAAAGAAATTTTATATTTATGGCATATTATTTCTAATTCAAAATCAGTTATTAATTGGTTTCTTGTATTTGGCTTTTCTGTAATATCACATAAAGTGAGGACTCTTAGAAAATTTGCATTTTTTTCAATAGGATAGGGTGATAAATGAGCACACAGTACACCTGATGGTAGTTAGTTAGTTTACGACGGGCTGTTTTCCGCAACTCCACGTCTAAGCGCGTATTTTGCGTGTGGGCAGAAATAACGTGGTTATTTGAGCCATGATATCTCACGAATAAGCTCAGCAGTCCTGCACCTGATGGTAAGTGGTTGCTGCTGCCCATAGACATCTACATTGATCCTTGATTACAAATCAAAATGCAGATGCGTTGTCACCCGTGAGGACTAAGATGGAATGCCTCATTTCCAGTAAAAAGGGTCTCCGGTTCTCTACACTCACCATATATGAAACACAGCAGCATTAAGTTGCTATTTTATGCTGGTATTCTATGACAGTGTGGTCCTTCCCCGGTCGAGCCGACCCATTCATGCTGCAACTTTACTACTAATATAACTGCAGCATAGCTCTACTACGCATATATTATTTTAAATATAAACTGTCATTTAATTATCATTAGATACTACTGGTTGAATTGTCAAGAATCGCAAAACATTGTGGCGAAGCTGGCAATTATACAAACCAGATTGTTGAACTGCTGCTGGTCACATAATATAGTCCAGTCAATCTAGACATTCAGTGTTACATAAAGTTACAAATAAGCTGATAATCGGAAAAATTGTTCAAAATATAATTATAAACATAAATAAAATTTTGAAGTTCCCCGCCATTTCTGTGTATGGAAATTTTTTTACTCAAGGTCAAAGGTCAAAAAATTAGACGCGATTTTCAGTAAAACGATAAGTTTTATCATAAAAATACTCCAGACAAAAGTTGTAGATCATAAAATTATCTACAAAAATGTATCAATACTTTTTTCTTATGAGTCACCGTTCCTGAGATATTATGAGTCAAAAAGTTGTAAACGTCATTAGTAGTCTAAGTACACTTATTTATTGTCATCTAAATTAACACGTATTTGTTTAAATATTGTCTTTTTCAAACTTTAATATTAAAATTTAAATGATAATAAAGGATACCGATATAGATCATGATATTAAGATCACTTTTATTTCAGCTACTTTCCAAAAGTCATGAGTAATACTTAATTTCTTACTTACTTCTCTAGCTTAGCAAGCTTAACAAAAATTTTCATTCATAGCAAATTATAAGGCGTCAGCCTATAATCTCATATATTTTCATAGACATCCAGTACTTACACATTATCATTAATATGTTAGTGGATAAACGGGACTGCTGTGATAAAATTTTATCGAAAACTTTATTATCGGCGTAGTCACAAGACTATAGCAGTAATTTTTATTCAAAATATATTAACACATGAACCTTAAAGCTACGTAACAAGGTTGAATATTGCTTGTAATAAAGGCAGTTTGATATTTTATCCATATTTTGTCATGCTTCTATGCTAAATAGAAAAAATTACACGTGTCTTTGGTACGAAACACCTCCTTTCAAAATATTATTCTTTTTACTTTCGTTTTTATACTCCAATATTGCACAAAACGGCATATTTTCGCATATCTTACTTAGCAGCTACGCGTTAGCTTGCGACAATTTGAGCCTACGACTGAGAGTCTGGGGCCGGGCTGTCCCGCCCACTTTGGGCTTCCTCTTTCATTTTTATATTCTGTGCCTCCTCCCCTAAAATTGTCAAAAAGCATGGTCCTGCATCCATCAATTTCCTGCATGTGACATCAGGTCGTAGTTCAATGTAATAGGACTGGACAACTCCAGTAATGCTTTTGCCAGTAAGAGGCTGCAAGTTGAGAACCTTTCTTCAATATTGGTTGTCAGTTAATTGGAAATGATAGCCATTGGAAATCACTTTGATGTCATTAAGCAAAAAGTTGGGAGAAATACTATTAATAAGAATATAAGCGTAAGAAAAAGTGTTCTAGCTTCAATCCATTGATGATTCTTTTTCTGAATTTGTATTGAGTGAATTTATTTCACTCTTCCTTAATTTATTTGTAATTTTTTTATATGATATAGCACAATAACAAATAAGGAATTTTTTGCAACATTTAAACTTAGTTTATTCGTTCTGAAAGTAGACAAATTGGTTTAAAAATTATTAGAATCACTAAATATTTTATACCAAGTAAAAGTTTTAACCACCCGGTAAGACATGCAGGAAGTCAATGGATGCAGGTGGCTTAGGACTGTGCTTTGTGACATTTTTCGGGTGAGTCCTATGTTCTTCAGTGTACATATGGAGGGATGTAATGATGATGATAATGAAACATTTTAAAATTCTGTTTTCTTTAAATATTTATATTTCAGGTATACTTTATGGCGCACAAGATCTCTTGTTGTACTATCCAAATGATCCTCCGGACTCCAGGGTGTTTGTACTACAACCCAGTAACTATAAATTACCTTATGAAAGTATTAAAATAAAAAATAAGGATGGTTTCAGAATACATATGTTCCTTATAAAACAAACAACAAATAGCAACCACATACCAACGATGATATTTTTCCATGGCAATGCAGGCAATATGGGGCAACGGTAAGTAGAAATTGTACACCAAGAAATATGACATAAATTCTCCTACCTGCATCTCTGAGAAATCAAAAAAAAAATACATCTATGTTAGAAGTGTCTGCCTATAATAGCTGAACTGCCTTTTATTGAGCTGAGAGCTTTAATTACATTAAAACATTTTATAAAATATAAGAAAAAATAAAAAAAAAAATTTAGTTAATTTTATGTAATAAATTGTACATATAAGCTGTATTTTAACCATTGTTTTATCATAATCTTGAGTATAAACAGCATGTGTGATATTTGAAATTTTATATATTAGCAAATTATCAAGAAAGAGCTTTTCATATTATTTTTATTTCTCACTATTTTATATATTTACTAATAATATGAAATGACACTTAAATGTATATTTCTTTAAACTTTACAGGTTATCAAATGTATCTGGATTTTATCACAAGTTAAATATCAATATTCTTATGGTTGAATACAGAGGCTATGGACTTTCCGAAGGATCGCCATCAGAGCGTGGTCTCTACAATGATGCACAAACAGCTCTGGACTATATTTTGCAAAGATCAGATATTGACAGAAGTAAAATTGTTGTGTTTGGTAGATCTCTAGGTAATATTTCCGATATGAGTTAGAAAATGTTGTGGAATGTTAATCTATTTATATTTAAATCTACATAGTCGCATATATATATATATATATATATGTATATATATATATATATATGTGTGTGTGTATGTGTGTGTGTGTGTGTGTATGTGTGACTTACAAATATAATAAAGCTATTTTTACCTTTATTCAGATGATTCCCGAATATACACAAAGGCTAGTCCTAACGATCTCCCTAAGTGCTATAAATGCCAAAAACACTGACTTTGACGGGATACTTGAGTAAAAACTTAAGATATTACTGTCGGTAGCTAGTAAAAGATGGTCGAATCCCGATTTGATTGCCAACGCTTAATAGCGTTTGATGAAGATTTAACCCCTTTCAATGATACTAAAGAATTTAGGGATTTGTGCAAACAAAAATTTGTCGGGGGGTATTATATAAAAGGAATAAGCAGTAAAGTTTATATATCTCCGCAAGCTCCCTGCTGTAAACTACGTAATTTAACCTATCTAACTTTCTTGCCATCGCCACCAAGATTATGCCTGCAAGTCTCTTCTATTCTTGACCTTTGACTATGCGGACATCAGCTATTTTGATGTCACCGAAGCATTACGTAATTATTTAATTTATGACTGTTTCTTTTTTCCGTATTAAACTCAACTAGTTGCCAATACGACTTCATCCGAATGCTCATAATTCATTTCTGTGCTCCCTTCAGACCTTTCTACCTTTACCTTAAAATATGCTCTTTGGGTTACTTAATGATTACCCTTCAGGGAATCAGCAGAGTTTGAAATTGAAAATACCACTACGCATTACAACCTATATAAGATGTTCATTTATGGAAGGAACTTCCCTAAGCCGTAATACAATACGCACCATTCCTCCCATTATTGAAAAAACATTTCAGGAATCATCATCTCGCTAAAATGTAGCTTTCGTACCAGTCAATTGCATATAATTGAAGTAGTATATTATTTAGTGCATTTTTGTACTTATAAATATCTGTATTCTATGATTTTTTTGTTTTGTTAATAGTATGTAAGTTATATATTATTAATTCATTGCAACCTATCATACTGTGCTGCGGATCATAGACCCCTTCACAAAATGCCTCATGGGGGAAATTTGCCGTAGTTGTCGCGCTCGGCAGTTTTTTGTTCTTGTTGTAGTTAGGAACACACTGCTGCCCACATCCAGGTTTGTTCCCCTCTGCCTCCTCTCACGACACCCCCAGGACGATATAGGGGTACATACGATGGGTAGTGTAGATATTCTTACACCGCCACTACACGATGGTACATAATACATAGATTTGCATATGTTATGGCTATACAAGGTTATTCCTCAAAGAGTAGTCAAATTTAAAATTATTAATGCTATACGGTTCTTGAAAATACGAGTAAATTATGCTTCTACTTTTATTTGAAATTATCCCAAATTGAATGTCATTTATGGGCAACCACGTTTTTGCTAGTCTAGTCAACATGTTCAGAAACACGTTAAGTCTTGTTCCGCTCCTTAAAATATGTGCGATAGCTCATTCGATTCAGAATGACGCACACTGGATCGAAAATCGCTTTTCGAAGACATCGCACCTTTAAAATTGTAAGTGTCGTTTTTTAAACTTGAAACGGCTTCTGTTTATTATTAATATGGTCAAAAATGTTACGCTATTCTTGCGTCAAGATCAAGTTATTCTTGCGTCGTCGGCGGCCGAGTTGTAAATATTGGTTACATTAATGAACAGATCATTAAAATAAAGGGGTATGAAAGTGAACGCAAGTAAAATGAAAGTTATGGTTTTTGAAAGAGAAGATAGTAAAACGATACGTGAAATAAGAATAGAAGGGAAGTTGGTGGAGCAAGTAGATGAGTTTGTATATTTGGGATGCGTATTTAGCAGGGATGGGAGATATAATGAGGATATAGAACGAAAAGTGAACGCAGGAAATAGTGTAAATGGAGCCCTACACTCTATTGTGAAAAGTCAGATTGTTTCAAAAAATGCACGAATGGCAATTCACAATGCTGTGTTGGTCCCTTCTTTAACGTATGGTAGTGAAAGTTGGGTGTGTCAGAAGAAACACGAGAGTAGAATAAACACAGTAGAAATACGGTCGTTGAGGGGTATGTTAGGGCTGAATCTGAATGACAGGGTGAGAAACTGAGAAATTGTGTGAGAAAAGAAGAGTGTGGTTTGCAAGATGATGTATGGAAAGAATGAATGAGAAAAGAGTGACAAAGCGAATTTAATTTGCAGAAGAATAGCGGCAGAGTCGGAAAGGGACGTCCTAGGCGAAAGTTTACCGACTAAATTGGCGACATATTAAAAACGGGCCAAATTAGGAGTACCCTTAACCGACGAGCATGTATGCGTAGGTATATGGATATGGAGGAGGCGAGGGTGGTGTGTCAGAATCGTATGGAAGTCTGTAGTCTCTGCCTACCCCTATGGGTGACAGGCGTGAGTGTTTATGTTATGTTGTGTTATATTATGACTTTCTAGACTTTTTTTGGCATCCGTGTAAGATATTGCGCTAATAAAGGGATCGAAAGTTAGGATAACTTTGTTAAGGATATCCTCGTTAGAAAATTTTCTACTCTTTTTTCCGGGAATGAATTCCCCGAAACTTTCCGAGCGTTCCGAAGCTTCTTCTAATAGGCTCCCAATTGGTACAATTGCATTACGTTCGAATTAAGTTTCGGATTGGTTCAAAGAGTAATATCACCGTCCGCGTCATCAATTTAAGAGGCACCAAGAAGGTCATAAAGATACTGAAATCATCTTGGTCCCCTTCCATTTTCTGCTTATATCGGCTCTGAACGGAAGCACCATCAAATCCCAATTTCGATAGAAGAGTCAACTGCTTGTCTCTAACATTTTTGGACAAAGTCTGATGTTGTAATAAACCTTTCTTCTGACATATTTTTAAACAAAAAAGAACCCGTATCAGTTATTTTTCTGCATTAAAACAGGTTTGAAAAATAAGAAAAATAACTTTTTTATCGATGTTTTTTTAAAAGTGCAGTCTTTTCTGTAATAAGAAGTATGTCAAAAAATCACAAATATTTAGTACTGTAACAGGGTTATATGTATAGAAGAATAGCCAATTATGATTTTTTAAGAATTTGTTATTGATTTGTTAAGAAACAATTTCTTATCAAATGACGTAAAACTAATTTTTCCTGCGTAAATGAATGTATTTTTGATGCGAAAACAGCAATATACAATATGTAACGTAATTAACGCACACCCTCATACAACCCAATTAGTATATTATGTTATAATCATAATACATACACTGAATTTTTAGTTAAACATTTTTATGCACTGATTATTTATCAAATTAGTTATACTAATTCCGGAAGAATGTTGTCACAGTACAAATCCACGAACGCAAAGACTAATGTGCTTGAAATAAAGTTCATTTTTCTTTATTTTTATTGAATGACAGAATTAGTAATAATACAAATAAAACTGCTCTCTTAAAAGTCTTATTGCCTTAAGTTAAGGTTCATTTCAGTTTGTTTTGATTGTACAGATTTAGTGTGACTGTAATTTACGTAGTTTTAATTATTTTTGGGATAAAAAATTACCTATATTAAAAATGATAGGAATAGATTCAGTAAACGATTCTGAACAAACTACTTTCTCAAAGTGCTTTAATTATGTTACATGTTGCATATATATAATAAAATTAACATTTTTTTTGAATATTTCAGTTTTTGTTCATTTAAAAAAATATAACAAACAAAATATAAAACTTTAATAAACTTTTATCACGTGATCTTGTTAAGTTTTATATGAGAATGACTACAAGAGGTAAAAAAATATAGGTTAATTACTTAAACTTTTATGTAGACTTTTGTGAAAATTGGAAACAAACTAGTTAACGAGCTTAAAAGTTTTTGAAATATTCACATAATTTTTTTCCAACGGGGCTATATTTTTACAAGGGTTCTGATGAAAATTTTAAAATTTATATTTTAAATTTATATTTAATACTATAAAAAAATATTTTGTGATATACTGTCCTCAGCGGCGATGCGCTCATGGTCGCGCGATGTCCTATTTTCGGAGCTATATAAAAATTATAAATGGAGATGGAATTCCGGGAGTCGGGACTTTTTAATGGAATTTTTCTCCCCTTTGATGATCTTTTTTCATAAATTCTTAAATATTAATAGTTTTTGAGTTATGAACGAAAAACTAAATATCTTTTTTTCCATCTTATTTTTTTAATTACAATTTTAATCTTTTATGTGCTAATAAATCCTAGAGATACCTACATTTTTCTAAACGTCATTCCGAATCGAATGAGAGCGGGAATAAGAATTAACGCGTTTCTGAACTTGTTTACTAGACTATGACTACCGATCGAAATGTGTGCGCCTGAGCTGTAAAATCAGTTAAAATAATTCATTACCATGCATTTTGAATTATAAAGACAAAAATGACTGAACGTTTGAGATTTTCTTAAATTAATTTTCTCACCATTTGCCTTTATTTCCTAATCTGAACTTTCTCTGCAAATTTGACGGTTATTGCAAAAATAACCCTGTATATGTTCGTCGGATATTTTTATCTCGTAATCTTTATTATACAAACTCAACCTACACCGTTTATTCTTGTAATCCTATCATTTAATTGTTTGTATGTATATTTGGTGTTTTGTGTATATATTTTTCCATGTCTTTGTATGGTGTGCAATAAAAAATAAATAAATAAAATACAATTCTAGGTGGAGCTATTGCTATAGATTTAGCATCTAGGCTGGAAAATAGAAACAAAATATGGGCTGTTATTGTAGAGAATACTTTCACCAGCATACCTGAGATGGCACAGATAATCCTGAAGTGGAAATGTTTAACATGGCTACCACAAATTTGCCATAAAAATAAGGTGAGGTTGTGTTATGGAATAAGACCACTATTTTTTTCTGGAAACTTATTCTTGACCGCAAATTAGTCTTAGACTCTAAAAAATAAATACGGTACTCATTTTTTAGCTGGCTTAAA